CTTTATATATTAAAGTATATACTAGGTTTTCAGAGACAAGTGCCTGTGAAAATTAGTCATACTTGTTTGCCATGAAATCAAAGAAATCTGATTTTAACTTTTTTTATATAACAAGAAGATGTGGTATGATTGCCAATGAGACAACTCTCCACAAGAGACCAAATGACACAGAAATTTGCAACTATAGTTTACAATACGGCCTTCAACAATGAGCAATACCGCATAGACAGCTATAAAAGGCCCCGAAATGACAAATGTAAAACAATTAAAACGAGAAAACTAACGGCTTAATTTATGTAAAAAATAATGAACGAAAAAAAAAATATGTTACACAGCAACAAACAACAACCACTGAATTAAAGGCTCCTGACTTTGGACAGGCACATACAGAATGAGGCGGGGTTAAACTCGTTTGAAGGCGCCAACCCTCCCCTAACCTGGAACAGTGGTGTAACAGTACAACAATAGAACAAACTATAACTAGAGGCTCTAAAGAGCCTGTGTCGCTCACCTTGGTCTATGTGCATATTAAACAATGGACACAGATGGATTCATGACAAAATTGTGTTTTGGTGATGGTGATGTGTTTGTAGATCTTACTTCACTGAACATTCTTGCTCCTTACTATTATCTCTATCTATAATGAACTTGGCCCAGTAGTTACAGTGGAAAATATTTTGTAAAAATTTACAAAAATTTACAAAATTTATGAAAATTGTAAAAAATTGACTATAAAGGGCAATAACTCCTTAAGGGGTCAATTGACAATTTTGGTCATGTTGACTTATTTGTAGATCTAACTTTGCTGTACATTATTGCTGTTTACAGTTTATCTCTATCTATAATAATATTCAAGATAATAACCAAAAGCTGCAAAATTTTCTTAAAATTACCAATTCAGGGGCAGCAACCCAACAACATGTTGCCTGATTGGTCTGAAAATTTCAGGGCAGATAGATCTTGATCTAATGAACAATTTTATACCATCAGATTTGCTCTAAATGCTTTGGTTTCAGAGATATGAGCCAAAAACTGCATTTTACCCTATGTATTATTTTTTTGCCATGTCGGCCATCTTGGTTTGCGGGCAGGGTCATCGGACACATTTTTTAAACTAGATACCCTAATGATGATTGTGGACAATTTTGGTTAAATTTGTCTTAGTAGTTTCAGAGGAGAAGATTTTTGTAAAAGATTACAAAAATTTACGAAAAATGGTTAAAAATTGACTATAAAGGGCAATAACTCCTTAAGGGGTCAACTGACCATTTTGGTCAAGTTGACTTATTTGTAGATCATACTTTGCTGAACATTATTGCTGTTTACAGTTTATCTCTATCTATAATAATATTCAAGATAATAACCAAAAACGGCAAAATTTCCTTAAAATTACCAATTCAGGGGCAGCAACCCAACAACGGGTTGTCCGATTCATCTGAAAATTTCAGGGCAGATAGATCTTGACCTGATAAACAATTTTACCTCATGTCAGATTTGCTCTAAATGCTTTGGTTTCAGAGATATAAGCCAAAATCTACATTTTACCCCTATGTTCTATTTTTAGCCATGGCGGCCATCTTGGTTGGTTGGCGGGGTCATCGGACACATTTTTTAAACTAGATACCCCAATGATGATTGTGGCCAAGTTTGGTCAAATCTGGCCCAGTAGTTTCAAAGGAGAAGATTTTTGTAAAAGTTTACGGACGACGGACGACGGACGACGGACGACGGACGCAAAGTGATGAGAAAAGCTCACTTGACCTTTCAGGTCAGGTGAGCTAAAAATCGGTTGAAAAAGGCTCATCAGATGGAAACAAATAAAAATACATCTAACAAAAACACAGAGTGGACGTGGACGGGTACTTATATATCCCTATAACAAAAAGACACCAAGTGCAGATCAGAGAGTACTCGCAGTTACTGCCTGCTAGTTCAAAGCCAATAACAACTAATAAAAAAAAATCATGCATCTAAGACTAAAATATCAACCAGTACACATCCAACTTCCCATGGATTTAGTGTAAAGAAGTCATAAACAGTCAAACAAAAACATGACTTATGTTTAGTTTGTAATTAGAACTAATTATAATACAAATGTCCTTTTTCAAATTATTTTCACTCTTAATTCTTAATGAATTGAAATATATAACGACAAGCATTTCTTTCGAAGCTAACATCTACGTCTTTTGGTCTCTGGAAGATAGTTGTCTTATTGGAAATTATACCACATCTCCTCATTTTGGATTAATATACGAAGAAATTATCTGAACATTTCCACCGGTTAAGTTTCCTTATGACAAGAGACAATGCTTTCATTCTAGTATGACCCTTTTTCATGTCGACGTTGATATATCTGTACCTTGACCATGTTGGTTACAGAGCTTCATCTGATTCTACCTGAAGAATGTTAATTCTAATTGTTAGTTCTGTATTTCAAACACTTTGTAGACTACACGGCTCTCCTGGACAATGTATACAATGAATAGCATCGTTTAAATGCTCATAATCAAGACAATTTTCTTTTTTCAGAAACACTATCCATAATTTGTTTTTTGAATTTCATGAAGTATTTAAAGAGTGTTTTAGTCTCACTATGTTACCAATAAATACATGTCACATGTCGCTCTGTTTGATTGTACATGATACGGTTTGCATCTTTCAAAACTTCTTTGGTACATTTTATTGAAAGGGTAAGATTTTATAAATTCACGAAATACATCGGTTTGACCTTTCACATGAATACGTTTTATTCGAGAACTATAATTGTAGCCTTAGTCTGATTAATTGCAAATCTGATTTATTACCTATAGTTCTTGAGTTTCTATGAAGCAGTCAGATATTATCAGCTAATTTTCGTCAATCTGTAATACAGCGTCAGGCCGCCTTTTCGTGACTGTATGTGTCAACAAGATTTTTCTGACCATAAAAAAATTGTTCTTACTTTTGTACCCGACGACACTCCTTGGATGGAAAACCTTATGATTTGGCAACTCTACAGTTTACTTTGCTTTATTTTATTTTTGATTTCATTTTCACTACGGACTGCGTCTGCTAAAACGTTCAAAGCGGCTCTAGCATCATCGAACCACCATTAATTTTGTCTCTTTATTTACATTTAGCAAAGAGTTTACAATTGATAAATTTGAAATATATGGCAATATTAAGGGAGTTAGCTTCTTCAGGTGAAATATTTTTGATTGTAGCGCATTTAACCGTCGGTCAACCGCGGCGTGGATATCTAGTACCTGTAACAATTGACAGTCACTTCGCGGGTGTATTCGGTAAAATTTCTTGTAACTTACTTATTGTCCAAATTTTTGAATTCTGTTTTTTAAACGAGATTTGGCCGTGAGCGACATGCATTTGTATTTTATTCTTTTTTGTATGTTATAAGCATTTACTTAATTATCGGGGTTTATGAATGGCCTTGTGTTTTCTATCCCTTTGTGTTTTTGTTTTCTTCCACAGTAATTCTTCTCTATGGCCTTTGTTCTTTCGTTTTGATTTAACGCTATTGCTTTTGTTAAATTTTTCGGTGAAGTCTGATGACTCCGCAGCATGCATGAATATGGTTCAAGCAAACATTATATTTAACAAATAGTGATGTTGAAGTACAATTTGAAAATATGAGTCTGCCAGACACATTCGATACCCCCAACCCCCTTAAATTTTTGTTCATTTCATATTGTAGGACAATTTGTTTGCTGTACCTATCAAACTTCTAACAATCGTTTTATTAAAAGTTTATAGGGGGGATGAATACGACTAAGTTCAACATCTTGCCCTTTGGGAAAAATGCCAATCTATATCATGGAAAACTTCACACATTAGGTATATGTACTATCATTCATCATAATATTAAAGTTCTAGCTTGAAAACTGCAAGTAAAGTGGGCTTGAGAACTATGTTCCCTACATGCATATTTTTACTATCAAAATGACAAGTTCAAGATTTCGTCATTTGTGCAAATTAGGATAGAAACATTTATATTATTAATAATTTTAGAATATCTAATTATCATTATGTATAATACAAAAGTTCTAGCTTGAAAACTTGCAGAGAAGATCGATTACGAACCATCAACCGTAGGTTTATGTTAGACGAACGAATGGACGGACAGGGATACAACAATTTGCGCCTGTCAATTTGGCTGAGGGCTAAATAAAAAAAACCTGAACACATGTGCTAATACACACATGGCGATTGCAACTGATCTTTTTTTTCAGAATGATGTGTTGATAAAAAAAATAGACACACAGAAAACATCAGTGGCGTCTCCACTTAGAAGAAAAATATCTGTCACAAATCAATCTTAATTTTAAAAATTTTAAGAAATGAAATTGCATAACTAATTGCAGTTGCGAGGTCAAAAATAGTAGCCTCCTCATTTCATATCAACGATTAATAAGACATACTTCTAAGACTAAATTATACAAAGACGAAGTTTTTTTCTCTCCATGACAATGGGTAAATGAGAGAACCTATGAAGAAAGGGGAAGCGGTAATCAAGAACCATGACTCGAAGAAATACTGACAACACCATGACCAACAGCTAGCATGCAGGAGAAAGGAATACACTGAACATGTTTTCATAGGGATTTGGTTTTACAACATCTATATAGGCACAAACGGAATGTGTGCACGTAAAACTGGTTTATCCCCACCGTATGCTGCGCCTGTTCCAATAAGTTATGATATCTGGACAATGTATTATCTTTTTTGGAAGTGTATTAACGTTTGTGCTTGATGTTGTACTACAACGTATTTTTGTCCTTCGTCGTTATCTTTTTTTATTTTGTGTTGTAGATTTCCATTCAACTTTTGAGTTTTTGATGTTCCTTTAAATGGTATTTTCTACTGCTTGTATTAAATTGAACAATGTAGCACTCGCGTGATGGACTCCGTTGTTATAAAGCATTCCTTTACTAGTATTAAATATGTATCCAAATAATGATGTGTGAAGGGTAAGGTTTGAATAGCTCAAAGCATGAAGAACAACAAACAGTTTCATTATTTTAAAAACTAATTTAAGTAATCAACAATCTTTAAAAAAAAAAAAGCAACTTTATAGAATTACCAAAAAAATGATAAAACTTTAAAACTATGAACTTAATTGTTTTATCATTTGAATCGGTATCACATGTACATTTATTACATTGGTATTCAAGGAAGCTGAGTCTGAACTGGTGCTTTTTCACATTTAAAGTTCCAGGCTCCACAGGTGTAGTGTCCTCTTTCATCTGCTTTTTTCAAGCAAATAAAACAAAATTTCTGTCCACATGGACACTCCATTTGCTTGCATGCTTCCCTGTGTTCAATCATTAAACCACATTTTGGACAAGCCCTTACAGCAGGACAACTAACACCGACAACAATCTTTTCTTGACACTCTCGCAAAATTTTCTTTCTTGGATCTTCTCCTGAACAGTTAAGGTTTCCACATTGAGCGATGCCTGACGTTGACCATTTTCGTAAACAAAACCAACAAAATTCAAATAACCCCTCGCCTTTTCTAGAACAAAGAGGACATCTTACGCGGATATCTTTCCGATTCATACGCTCACAATACGATTGACATCTAGGACATTCTTGAATCCCAACACCTTTTCTCAGGAAATTTATCGCTATTTTTGTCTCAAATTCTTTTCTTTCTTCCTTTGTCAGCACTGCACACTTCTTTACTGTATAGAACTCCCAGAGCCGACCACAGTAGGATGGATCCATATGTGGGCATCGAAATTCGTATTTTCCACTCGAAAAGACTCCTGCAGTAAGCCGTGAGTGATTCGGGACCTGAAAATTACGATAAAGAACATGTTTTCTAATCTTTCATTTATTAATAATAACAGAAATAGGGATACTTTGAATTCGTCAATTTATCTTTCAAAACCACACGTTACATTAAAGTCGCAAAAACCGAAGGTAGAGACTCTTCGTTTATGTCTACTTTTTTTCTACTTTTTATTATTACTTAGTTGCCAAAACAGAATAACATTTTCATTAAACGTAAACTTGATCGATTGTTTTCTTGAAGATAGTTAAGGGCTTTAAAATTAGTATCACTGAGGGTGCATTCGACAATTTTTTTTTTATTTAAACAAGTGACATACTTTGTAAATTTTGAGGGGTCCAATGAGGGTATGGTCCTTTTTTCTTGTATGGGTAAGATCCTTACAGCATCAGGAAAAGATAGTTTGTACTTGTTTTGTATAATAAAAGACACTATATTTCTACCCCAATAAGAGGATATCCGATAACGCATTCGGTTAAGGTGGTTCAGAATTAAAGAACTTCAACTGGGTTTTAATATCTCAAAACAACTATATGCAATATACAATTGTTGTTTTATATTATGTATAGGAACTATATCCAGTTCTGTTCCAATGTTTCCTCTACATCCAGTGGCTCGCTTACAAACTTCGAGGTATTTTACTGGAATTTTCATTTTCTATTTTGAAACTCAAAAACAATAACAATTGATACATTTTTTGTAATAAAACTTTTCAAAATAGATGTTATAAAGAAAAGGAGTCGTTTTGTTTAAGATAAGTTTTATGTAAACAGACAGCCGCCTCCGATTTGACCCCTCAAATATGTGAGTCACTTGTTTGATTTTTTCGTTTTAATTTATCACATAAAATGGCGCTTGAACACATTATGCCTAGCCTGTTACATGCCAAACTAACTGTGAATAAAAGGTGAAAAAGAAACATGTATAATTTCATTTTCCTAGTCCTGTGTTGCTTCCTAGTGTGCACTAGTCTCACTGCAAAACATACGTTCATAGACTGAAGTTTGACAAAATATACAGTACCTGATATCTTCTTCCAAAATTGGTTACCGAATCAGATAGATTTCAACGTGACTCTTATTCAAATACTTGAGAATATATTTTTTTGAGTTATTGAATTTGCATTTGATCGATTCGTCTTAACACCTTTTCCGTTTTCATTAATTGTATACTCAATGTTTTTGTTATACTTTTGTAATTTAAATTACTCCGTCAAATTCAAGTTGCATAATATTTCAGAATGAATAACAGCATATTTCTTTTATAAATTAACACATATGAATTTTTGTTATTTGATTTTTTTAATGTTTAGTTTATTTATTTGATGGTACAATAATAATCATATCTTCTTGTCATTATATCTGCTTTTTTTACACCAGTATCTTAAAAAAATTCACGTGATTTAAACATGGCAGTGTTCTTAGGCATGTCAATATATTAACAATATACATTTGTACCTATTGCATGACCACACGGCATTTTTGCTCTTTGACCATCCTTGTCATCATCAAATGTTATCATATCCGGTTCTGAGGTGAGCTCAACATCAGAACCATAAACTTTTAAGGGAGGGGAAAGATCCTCAGTAGTATCTATACTATCCGAGTCAACAATTTCCACTGTCCCTGGAGCAGTTTCATTGGTCTGTCCCTTTTGACTTGACCCTCCAGGTAAACGAAGTACCAATACAAGACTCCCTTCATCTTGAATGTTGAAGTCTTTCAGGAACAGCTCTTCATTATTCTGACCAGTATCCCGCAATTCCTTAGCTAAAATGAAAATTACATGACATATACTTATTCTAACAAGTAGTGAGAAATTTATTGACAAAAATACAAAACTCTAAGAGTTATCATGATGCGAGTTAATATGAACTTTTCATTGACCAATTCAGAACGAAACCCATTAAGATCTCCGTTTTATAGAACCAATACTTACTACAGTAGATTACTCTCATTTCATCGAGGCCGATCGAGGTTTTGTCATGAATCAGTCTTCTCAGCTGAGCAATACTTGCATCCTTTATGATACAAAGAATAGGAAATTAAGAATGTTCATAAAATCGAAAAAAATCAGATGCACAAAACCAACTTTTCAAAAACTTTTGTATACTATTTATACATGTTATATTAGAAAATATAATACAAATTAAATTCGGTCCTGGTACTGATACAGTAACCCTCCGGAGCACCTGAGATCACCCCCAGTTTTTGGTTGGGTTCGTGTTGCTCAGTCTTTAGTGTTCCATGTTGTGTTTTGTGTACTATTGTTTGTGTGTTGGTCTTTTTCTTTTTTTTAGCCATGGCGTTGTCAGTTTATTTTCGACTTATGAGTTTGAATGTCCCTCTGGTATCTTTCGCCTCTCTTTTAAACAAAGAAATGCATGTATTAAAGATGGTAACGATTATAGACAGAAAATAATAAGTTTGTTAGGATAACGATTCCTTGTAAAGATATTACGATAACAGTTTAAATCAATGTGACATCTTGCTTTGAAATGTCTAACCATGATCATTTTTAGTTTTAAATAATAAAACATTGCCAAAAGTTATTGCATAACAATTCCTTAAAGATTAAAATCGCGAAAACAGTATAGGGACTACTTAACGAACATTTCATCTTGAAGGGAATTTTAAAATGGAATCCTTATATAAATCTACATGCTTGCAATCAATCACACCTTAATTAATCTTAAGTGGAAACATTTTGAGGTAAGAGTAATGGTGGTGTACATTCTTCAACAATATGATAATACAAAAAAATAGATAAAAAATATGATACATTCAGTAACTTAAAACATTTAACTGTACATTGATGGGGAAACAAACGTTTAATTTGTTTCAAACCAACATTAGGTACATGTATGCTGCAATGGACAAATTAATAAAAGTATTTGCAAATGCGTCGTAGTTTTCTGTTATAAAATTAGGTACTTATTTGACATTTAGGAATGCATCTCACTCCTGCAAAGCTTAATCCACGTTTTTAAATTAGTCATTTATGTGATAACCAGTGGATAGTATTACATGTACTTTTATGTCATGCTTTACAGTAAGAATATATTTATATTTATTTATTTATTTTTTATTTTTTTGTTGTTGCTTATTTTACGGCATATTTGATGAAACATAGGTATATAAAAATAAGGAGATGTGGTATGATTGCAAACGAGACAACTATTCACCAAAGTTCAAATAAAGTGGATGTAAGCAATTATAGGCAACCGCACGACCTTCAACAATGAGAAAAACCCATACCGTATAGTCGGATATAAAAGGCCCCGACATGAAAAATATAACTAACGGCCTTATTTATAACAAAACAATTTACGAAAAACAAATATGACAGACGTCAATCACGACAACCACTGAACTACAGACCATATATGTCCATATATACAGAATGCAGTAGGTTTTAAATCGTTTGTTTAACATTTTGATAAATTTTCTTTATATTACGCTTTTAATACACTAACATATTGAAATAATGATATCAACATCAGAAAAATAAAAGAACGGAAACACTACTTTGACACCTTTTGTGAAAAGACATATAACAACAGTTATCGTGAAAAAATCTAAGTTCTACAGAGGAACTCAGACACCCCATATGATAGGATCTAAAACTGCTCGATCATGGAAAATAACAATTTAAAAGACTTACCTCATGAATGCGAATAAGTTCTGTTTTATTTTGAAGCCCTATTAGAAATAACTGAAGTTCCTTTGCCATTATCTGTAAACAGAAAAGACTAAACCGATATCTTTTTTCAATTATTTTCACAGGATATACGTAGTAGCTTGAAATATAGTTAACAAGTTAACCCAAACAATGAAATGACCAAGGTTTGTTTTACCACAAGTAATTATATTTAAAGTAACAATAAAAACCAAATAAATAAACTTACTTTTCCTTTTTAAACAGATTCGATGTGATTATTAACGAATCGTCTGCTTATATACCATTGCTAAAGGAAATACTCACATGTTATCACATCTATTTTTACAAGATGGAAATCTGTCTTCTAAAATTGTAATGTATGTCAAAGATAAATGCTAACCATACATTACATTTTCTGAAAAAGCACAAACAAGTAAATATATTTTTACTTATTGTCCTGATAGTGATCATAACTGTAAGATAAAATACTAAGTTACATTTTAGACGTATTTCCTAAGCTGTCGTTTTTAAATCAAACAACCTTAATTTCAATTCTTAATTTTCACGTCAAATCATTAATTTCTTAATGATAAACATGATAAATAGTGGCAACATGACCAATGAAACTCTGATATCAGAGTTCACAAATATATTATCCAACTGTTTCGCACGTTTTTGGTGATAAGCCTATTTTCTGTTTTCCTCGTGTTGAAACCTCGTGATTAAGTTCAGCATGAATATTAAACTTTAGAAACAAAATTCAAGTTAGAAGCAGGAATATCAGAAAAAAAATGGTAATATACATGCCAAAATGTCTATAGATCAATTGTATTTGTATTAGAATGATTTATACAAACGTTTAACTTTTCTAAAATACATCGAGGGCTCATACACGATGATTTCAGTAAATCAAGGATATTTTTATTAATGAAAAACGATATAAGAATGGTTTTCGTGATGAAAGGAAATCTATTTTCGAAAAGTGAAAATGTTATTTTTAAGGCAATATACATATAATTGTTTCCCGAGTATGACCCAATTTAACATAGCAGCTGCAGTAATATTTGTCTTGGTGTGGATGACAAGTTTGGAACCTGTTCAATACATGTTTATATAGTTAAATTTAGAAATCAAAATTTATGTAGTGATGCATGGTTTTTGTAGGCATATCATAATCTATTTTCAGAGCGTGAAAATTTCTTCTCGTTAATTTATTGACACACTTAGAATATATTGCAACCTACACTGTACATGTACAAATTAAAAACGTAAATAAAATGGAATCGTATTGAAAGGTAACGAACTTTCGATGGATCCTATATCGACGGACGGATCTATTAAGGTAGTTTTCTTATTTAAAAATCAAAATAGATATTCTAAAAATAGAATTAAAAGTAATTTTTGAAACAGTAATATTGTTTTTTTCCAGGATTCAATGTTTAAACAGTATACGCGCATTGACAATTAATCTCTCAATATATACATCTTCGTTGTGATCATACTATGAATATACCTCTTCGTTGTGATCATACTATGAATATACCTCTTCGTTGTGATCATACTATGAATATACCTCTTCGTTGTGATCATACTATGAAAAAAGTTTAATCACAAAAATACTGATCTCCGAGGAAAATTCAAAACGGAAAGTCCCTAATCAAATGGCAAAACCAAAAGCACAAACGAATGGACAACAACTGTCATATTCCTGACTTGGTACAGGCATTTTCTTATGTAGAAAATGGTGGATTGAACCTGGTTTTATAGCGCTAAACCTCTCACTTGTATGACAGTCGCATCAAATTCCATTATATGACAACGATGCGTGAATAAAACAAACAGACATAATAGGTAAAAATGTCAAAAAAGGGGTACAGCAGTCAACACCGTGTCAAAATCTTAATCACAACAAAAACAAACAAATATTTAACAAAGAAGCACAAAAAAGCATATATCACATATAACAACCTCGTTCATTGCTTACTTATTTTTGTATTTTTTCTATGTATGCCAGATCAACCCATAAAGGATCGATGAATATACCTCTTCGTTGTGATCATACTATGAATATACTTCTGCGTTGTGATTATACTACGCATATATACCTCTTCGTTGTGATCATACTATGAATATACCTCTTCTGTATAGGATGAATTGTTAACTTTGAATGACACTAAATATCGAGTAAAAATGCAAAAAAAGATATATTTTGGCTACCTACATGAAGGTAGTTTCCCTTTACAAAAATGTTAAAATTAAAATTAAAATCGGTAATTTGACTATTAAGCGACAAGCATTAAATTTACAATCATAGTATTTTCTTATGTTGATGCAATCCATGCACGTTTCAGGATTAACCTTCATCAGGTACGGTCAGTCATAAGAGAGGACGACAACAAAATATGTATAATTACAGGGAGATGACAATAACCAGGAAGGATCGATCAAATGTAATGTTCATGGTAAAAGAAAGACAAAAGATACCAAAGGAACATTCAAACTCATAAGTCGAAAATAAACTGACAACGCCATGGCAAAAACAAACAAAAAAAGACAAAAAGACTAACAACTGTTTAACAAACACACTGTGTGTTAACATTCCGCTTCACATATGATACCCGTCAACTTAAGAAAATAATTGGGTGGCAAAAAGATAAACAGTTTTCTTTAATTTCGAGGAAATAAAAGTCTCTACGTCGATAGGGCATCTTTTTTTCTACATATTAGACCAATTTACCTAAATACAAATACAAAATAAAACAACATGCTAACATTCTCTCTGCTCTGTGAAATAACATAACATTTTCTGCATAGTTAAAACATGGGGAGTATACTTTTAAAATTGAGAATGGAAACGGGTAATGCGTCAAAGAGACAACAACCCGAACAAAGAGCAGAAAACAGCCCAAAGTTACTAATGGGTCTTCAACACAGCGAGAAAATCCCGCATCTGGAGAACAAAAGAAACTAAGCAAAATGACAATAATGTTTCGATTATGTCAGCAATGGATATAAAATACGGATTCACAAAAATAATATTTTTACAGCAAACCTGAAACAATCACTTTGTGTTTCCTATCATGATTTCCTTGATAGAGGATTGCTGCTCGCAAGGAAGCTATTAATTAAACCAAGAGTTCCAAATGGGGAAGTTGAAATCATCCCTTCGTAAATTTTACGGACGCCATCACGAGTTGGTTGACCGTTATGGAATAACCGTTTCACAGATGATATCGGATATGTTCCTTATGTCGTAACTACAATACCCTCCCTTTTCACGAATATGACTTACCGAATTAGACTATTTACCGGATTTGTAATACCATAAGCAACACGACGGGTGCCACATGTGGAGCAGGATCTGCTTACCCTTCCGGAGCACATGAGATCACCCCCAGTTTTTGGTGGGGTTCGTGTTGCTTAGTCTTTGGTTTTCTATGTTGTGTCATCTGTACTATTATTTGTCTGTTCGTCTTTTTATTTTTGGCCATGGCGTTGTCAGTTTGTTTTCGATCTATGAGTTTTACTGTCCCTCTGGTATCTTTCGTCCCTCTTTTATTCAAAAGAGTTTCGTTTAAGGATTATGCAATATTTAATTATTTTATGGCTTTTTCACTGCATGTAAGTTCGCTAGATTTTGGTTCGTCGCTTTTGGTTTTGATATCGTTCCGTATGGAAACAGTGAAACTTCATCTTCAAATAACACAGTATATAGTGTGTGTGTGTTTTGGGGAAAGGGGGTGTCACAAACCTAAATGAATCATACAAAAACGTTCCGCTGGAATTAATGAGTCACCTATTTGGTATGTTAAGTATATATCCATTGGGTGCAAATTTATACGGAGATAACAAATATATAAGATGTCCTTCTAATAGTATATGAATTGTTATATCATTTACAACATTAGATATGATATCTGTAAAGACTGTATATCACTTCCTTTTATTTATTGATATGAATGATCCCATGCGGTCAACATCCTTGTTTGTCGAAACTATTGACACAAGTTAAATTTATTTTAGATGTCACATGTGTAGTATGTCTGATAGCTGAGACATATATATAAATGAATTATCATTATGTACTATCAAATATATGTGTGTTACGGATTTTCGCAAACTTCATCATATGAATGAAATATTTCTTCTTAATTCATATGTATATTAAATTGATAAAAACAATAATTGGTTTTCCAGGGCATATCGTGGTTTATTTTTAGAGCATGGGAATTTCTTTTCGTAAATTTATTGACAAACTAAAAATACATGACCATGATGACATAGAAGTATTAAGAATAAAACTTTAAAGTTCTATTTAATTTGACACTGAAACGAAAGGTACACATTAAAACGTCAATAAAATGGAAACTTTTCGATAGTTAACATACTTGTCGATGCACCCTATATTAAGGTAGTATTTAAATATTCAAATATCAAAATATAGACATGAGAGATATACTTGAAATAGAATAAACCTAAGATTTAATAATTATATGGTTTACTCTACCATATCCTTGTTTATAAACTTTACGATTATTGGCAATAGATTTCTGAATATTTGAAAAAGTTTCAGGTTTCATATGAGATGTTTTTGAATACCAAAGAAGTTTGCGTAAGTCAATCTGTCAATATTAATCATTATCGCACCGCGGGTAAATTATCACGTTGAGATTGGTTTAACGCCGTCACGTGGTGACCCCCTATGGATCCGTAGGGGGTTAGTAAATTCCATAGTGGGTTCATGACGTCACGGCTCCTGTTAATGGTGACGTCATCTATTGATGTTTTTGTATTTCATTGTTTATTTTTCTACAAAACGCTGCAGAAAAAGTATCGCGTGCGATAAATTCGTCATACGGTTAACTACTGACCCCCTACAGACCATAGAGGGTGAATAAAATCCATAGGAGATTCGGCCTCCGGCCTCACCCCCTATGGATTTTACTAACCCTCTATGGATCCGTACGGGGTCAGTAGCGAACCATATAACTTATAGTGAAATCTACTGGTACTGACTATTGAACGGCTGTTGTGTTCCTCATTACATTACATTTTCTGCATTTTGTTTGTGTTATACCTTTACATCTCGAGCTTTACATATATCGTGTATATCGGAAATAGATATGCGAATAAAAATAGTATTATCATTAAACCTGAAGGAACCATTTTATTCATATGAATCCCTTTTTATACCTACTTTTCGTTTACAAGGTGTCACTGCGTTGACTCTCGCTATATATATATCGTTTCGTTTTATCTTATTAGTTTACTAAATTCGTTTTGATG